CCTGTGGCAGTTTCTTTTCACCCCCTTTCCCTGGATTTCCCCCCTGAAGTACGATGGCTTTATAACCTGCAGTGGCTCTTCCCAGAACCTCACATTTCTCCTCCTCACAAGGGCATTTTTGCAGCTGCATGAAATCACCACCTTTGTGATCATCTGTGGTTTTGGTGTTTTGGGGGAGCACAGAGGTGGCAGGGGCTGGGCAGTGGCTTGGGCTTGTTGCTTGACCAGAGCTGGGGGTTGTCCCCCCCACACTCCCAGATTCCCCCTTTCCCCAGCTCCAGCCTTGCCTGAATCCTTGAATTTTTGTGGCTTTCCTTTGGACCCAGACAGAGCTGGGCACGTGCCCAGGGCTGGGGGCAGGTGATTTGCAATGCCCTGTGCCTATGAACTTTGTTCATCCCCCAGCAGTGTGGGTACAAGTGAGTCTGTTTTGACCCCAAGGGTGGGATGTCTCTGATTCACGTGTCAGGATTTCTCCTAAATGGACCCTGTGCTGTGTTTGCCTCCTCCTCTGCTCCCCACAACCCTCCCCATGACCGTGACCCTCTCCTTTTACTCAGTCCCCATTTTTGCTGGCATGAAAGCCCCCCCCACAGAGGAGCCAAGCACCAAACACACAGGTTGCTGTGGATGCTGAGGAAGAAGTGATGCCAACCCCTGCTGCTTGGCCAGGCTGCCCTCCAGACAGAGGTACAGGAGATGTGTGACCTGCAGCCACAATGCTGGTGGGACCAGCTGCATCCCAGAGCTGTGCTTGCTGCCAGCGTGTGAACCTTCTCCCAGGTGAGACTGGAAAGCATGGGAGAGAAGAGGCTCCAACCCTGGCTGCAAGAGGCATGAAGCCTATTTGGGAGGCAGCACTTGAAGGGTTAATGTGGCTCCTGCTCCTTGGTGAGGACCAACCGAGGACTCACGAAAGCCCAGAGAGCATCAGTTCCACCTTAGGGCAATCTCCTGAGCAGTGATGGGACAGCAGACCTCAGCCACGTCCACACCTTCAGGAGCAGAAAGTGCCAGCAGGGAGTGACCTGCCTGCCAAGAGAAATGCAAGTGGCACCTCAGTGGCAAAGGCAGCTCCCTCCGTGGGCTCTGCACCATCTGCCAGAGACATCTCCTGTGAGAGGGGAGGTGAGATCAGCTGCAAAGATGCTGGTGTGATTCTGGCCTCTGACACAGTCACACCTCAGCCCTGCTACCAAAACCTGGCCCCACAAGCAATTTGTTGACACAGTCACAGGGAGGGATCAGTCCCTTTAACAGAGACAAGCTCTCCGGGAGGTAAAGCAAGACTGACCTTATGTGTCCTTCCTCCTCCTCCCTTCCTCGCCCTGAAGAAGGTTTGTCCTCCCTCCCTGCCAGGATGAGGACAGCAGGACTTGGCTGCAGCTCTTGCTGGAGGCAGGCTGACATTTGGAGTGGGTCAATGCTGATCTTCTCCTCCTGCCCCTGCTCTGCTGAAACTGGGCGCTGATGGCACCTGCACTGGTGACAGCAGAGGGTTTGTCCAGGAGCTGTAAGGCTGAGCTTGCTTTCACAGGCCTAAGATTAGCTGTCCTAAGCCAAAGTCAGAACAAAAGGAGCTGCAGGAGGTTTGTTGTTCCTGGCCCCAGGCTCTGCAGTGACCCCCATCCTCAGCCAGGACCTCCTGTCCTTCCCTGCTGGGCTGCCCACAGCTCCCTCTGCTGTGACCAACTCCTGCAACGCTGACTCAAGCAGCTCCAGCCCAAAAATCCGGGAGAAAACAGACCTCCAGACACTGGGAGAATTTGAGATCCAAGTCTCAGTCGTGCTGGTCCCAGCAGAGGATCCAGCCTGGAGCTCGGTGTGCAATGAAGAAATGCTGCCACGGTGTGGACGGAGCTGGGGAACCTGCTGCAAGGGCACGTTTGTGTCACTGCTTGGGGACATGGAGGTTGAAAGGCAGCCCCTTGGAACCACCTCTGTGGGCTCCTTTGCCCCTGAGGTGTGTGAATTTGGGCAGAGGTCCTGGCTGTGGCATCCCTAGAGCTGGGAGCATCCAGCTCCACCCCCACCGCCAGCCCTGGGGCTGCAGCAACACAGCTGAAAGAATATAATAAATCATTAAACTCATCCCCTCCCTTTGGGAAATTCAGTTCTGGCTCCAGACTTTGTGCTCTGGTCCTCCAGAAGGAGTGATGCAACCTGGAGAGGAGGCACTGCCCAAAGAGATGTCCTTGTCTTCGTCCTCTTCCCAGCTCACCCCGTGTTGCTGGCAACTCATTTTCTCCTGTCCTGCCTTCTGCCTGTGTTGGTTTAACATCTCCCATCTGGAAGTCATGTTGCTGCTGCAGTCTGTGCCCAGGATGAGCTGGCCTGCTCCTCCTGCACCCCAAAACTTGTCACCTGCCCCTTCCACCCGAGCTACCCGTGACAACAGGGGGAAGCACAGCAAAGGGGCCTCTGGTGGGATCTCCAGGGGGGTCTGTGCAGGGCAGGCAGCCAAAGCCCTCTCAAGTTCAACAGGCATCAGGCAGGTGAGTCCTTCAGGGCCCTTTGGAAGGGAAATTGTGTGTTCTGAGGCCAGCCTGCCTGCCTGGCCTTGGAGAAGAAACACTCTCCCTGCTGTGAAGGTCCATGAAGTCAAACGTGTCCCCCAGGGCTCCAGGTTCTGCCCCCTCTGCCTGGGAAGGATGGATCCCTCCTCACAAGCTGCACTGCTGGGGATTTTGATTCATCCTGTTTTGTTGGAGCCAGTCTCAGACCTTTTACCTTCTCCTTCATCCCCCTCCCCTGCAGGGGCTTTGCCCTCCCCTCCAGCTTCATTTTCTCCCACAGCAAAGGGGGAAAGAAACGGACGGACCCGCTTTATCATTCCACAAATGTGGCTCTTTCACCAGTTGTCTCAGCTCTGCTCATCTCAGTGTGACATTTCTGATGTGTGAGTGCAGCTACAATATCTCTGGGCACTCAGAAACAGCCAGAGAACAAGGTGGGGTCTGCACAGACCAGTGCCAAGAGCTGCTGGGGGGTGTCAGGCATGGAGGGCTCGTGCCTCTCGGGCACTGGGGTCACAGAGCTGTCACCTCTGGGTCCCTGCTGCCCATCCAGGCTTCTGCAGCAGGGGGATATTGGACCTGATGGACACCCAGCCTGATGCAACACCCAGGCCCCTCTCCTGGAGGGTGCCCACATCCCTTCTGCCACAGCTCAGCTCCTTTGCACTCCCCAGGGGTTTGACATTAAGAGGCTTTTCTCTAAGCAGATTCCATTTTCAAGACACCATGAAGTGAAGGTTGTTTCTTTTTTTTAATTCCTCAGAGCCCTAGGGTTTTCAAATGTCCACAGAATGTTACATATGAACTTGAAAAACTCATGGACACTGGTTCTCCAGTTTTCCAACCTGCTGTGTCCACAAGCAGGGAAAAACAATTTGTTCATTCAGTGCAAGAGCATCTACTGCCTGTGTTGTTGATGACTTCAAAGGTTTCACCTCTCCAGAAGGACTGCCTGGGAGTTTGCTGCTCTTCTGCTTACAAGAGACAGCAGGAAAATAATGAGGCTTCTGCCACCTCAAAGGTGACACCTCCAGGACTGTTGCTGGGTGAGCCTGAGCTGGTTGCCCCAGAGGAACCGAGTCTGTCACATTCATGCCAGCCAGAGAAATGGGGTCTGAGTTTGGGCTGTCTGTGCTCCCTGTCCCCTGTCCTGTGCCTACACGTCCCCAGGGGCAAGGAGGGGACTCTGATCACACCCAGAGCAGTGTGAACCAACGTGTCCATGCATGACTGGCAAACTTATAGTTGTGTC